AGTCTCATTTACTCTCTCACATGACACTTTGGGATTACTTAACTGACCAGGCTTTACTCCCATACAAAAATTTTAGACAAGAGAAGAAAAAGCAACAATAAATAAAAGGGATGGGGAGATTGTATAGCTGTTTAACAAATTTTGTTTCATTTTTTACTGACAATGACATATGCATTAACATACCATTGTTTCCTAACACACAGAAGTGTTTGTAACAAAAAAAAAAAATTACAAAATAATATTTTTATATTAAATCTTAAAACCCCAGCCATATCAGGCACTAAACTTGTTATATTTTTATTACTCACATCCTCCTGGGTTGGCAGATTCATTAAGATAAGGAAGAAGTCTAAAATAACCACTGACATTAAAGTGACCGATAGGCATTAAAAGTAAAGAGTAACATTGAAGGAGAAAATTTAATTCTTTCTCTGTGAGTCTTTGGGAGAAAACGAGTTCAGCAGCTAAAATGAGTAATAGGGCAGGTTTCAGAAGTGGTGTATGAAAGCATTTGTTCTAATGCTGAACTTTACCTTCCCTCATTAAGTTGATTCATTGTGTAGGTAACAAGGAAAAAGCTGGCAAGTGCTGACTGCTGTGCAAGCCTCCATGCTGAACACATCCATCATTCAAAACTTGGAATTCCAAACCTGATGGCCATGCTTCTTTTGATGCAGCACAGGTTGGTTATCTGGACCTGTGAGTGCACATTGCTGGCCCACACCCAGGTTTTCATCCATCAGTAACCCCAAACCCCCCTTCCCAGAGCTGTTCTCATCTGTGTGCCCATCACGTGTGCCCATCATCCAGCCTGTACTGCTACTGGTGACTGGACCAGCTGCAAGGTCCTATGTCTGGGTCACCACAGTCACCCCTATCAGTGCACACTGAGTGATGAATGGATTGAGAGAAGATCCCAGAAGGGACAGCCTCTCACATATCATTGTATACAAGGGAAATATTCTCTTGGGCTTCAAGACCCTCAAGTACTTAAAAAGAGCATCCTCGTCTAAAAACTGTCCCAAATGGAGTGCAAATCAGACCCTAAGTCTGCTTGGTAAAAACATTTCTCAGAAGGACTTATTTCAGAAATGGATCCTTGGCACTGATTAATCAAAAGTAGAGGTGATGTCCTTTTGTTGAGTGAGATGCATTGAGGGTCAGGGACTATCGATTGTTCTGATTAATACACTGCACTCCCACATCTGGGAAATGGCAACTCAAATTGGAAGGCCCCTTTTCTGCCCTCCTTCCATGGGTACAATTCCCCTATGAGATCAGAGTCTCAGAGAAAAAAAGAATCAATGGTTCCAGGCATTAGTGAAGGTCAGAGTGCAAGGCATAGAGGGCAAATCATTGGCCATTGTAAATCATGGTCACTCTCTTAACTCACTGGATCTATTGCATTTTAGTCAGGGATTTGACCCCAAGAGCAACCTGTACTTTTCCCTCATATCTATTGTTTCCTTCTATGATTTTGATGGCTATTTGATTTTACTATCTGAGCTAATCAAAACGGATTATAGTCAGTGTTCTATTAATTCCTAAGATCCACAAATATTTTGAGAAGCAAAAGGCTGATATTTTCTATGGCTTTAGTCTTTTCATTATTTCTTGATAGTTATTCCCTACCTTTCACTGCTCAAAAAATATCTCCAGACTACAAAGATGTTGGGAACCTAAAGGAAGGTATGAGTATGAAAATACGAGTATATATATAATTTCATATTGAAATATGGAGGATACTCAGCATCTTGAAGATATGCACTTCATTTGTTTGTTCCTATTGGGTATTTTCTTTTTATTACATTTTTTAGTAAACGTAGTTTTTACTTCTTTTTTCCTACATTTACTTCTCTTTCTCAGAAAACTAAAGAAATAAAAAAATACAGTATATGTCCTAAGAAAATTAATATTCACCTGAATTCCACTATTACAAAATCCAGAAATTTCTCTACAAAAAAAAAAAATTCTAGTTTTTCCTCTTTGTGCCATAGTTTAACCCCAGACAGCAACTAAGTACCACAGCTGCTTGCTCACTTCACTGCCACAGTGGGATGGGGAAAAGAACCAGGCAAAGGTAAAGCCCACGTGCTGAGATAAGAACAGTTTAATAATTTAATATTAGGACTAATAGTAACAACTACAGGAAAAAGAGAAGGAAGAATAAAACCCAAAAAACACAAATAAAGCACAATGCCATTATTCACCACTCTCTGACCTATGCCCAGCCCATCCCCTAAGTGATCAGCTATTTCCAGGCAACTCCTCCCAGTTTAAACATGGAGTGTGATGATTTGTGATATGGAATGTCCCTCTGGCCACTTCAAGTCAGCTGTCCCAGCCATTCTCCCTCTCTCCACTTCTTGTGCACCTGCTCAGTAATACTGAAAAGCTCTTGACTTAGGGTAAGCACTGAGCAGCAACAACCAGCACATCAGTTTATTGCCAACATTATTTTCATACCAAGCCCAAAGCACAGTGCTGTGCCCACTGCTAGGGGAGAAAATTCACTCAATTGCAGCCAAAACCAGGACACCTTTACATCTCAGATGAAAAGCAATCTTTAATACTTCTCTAGGGAGAAAAATCCTCCAAGGAACAAAATATCACTTCTAAAGAAATTTACCTAAGTAAGGGGGAGGGTTTTGGGGTTTGGGTTTCTTGGGGGGCTTTTTGTTTGTTTTTGTTGTGGTTTTTTTTTGTTTGGGTTTTTTTTTGCTGTTGTTTCTTTGATTATTTGTGGAATTTGTAAGTATGATCTTACTTATATATCCTAAGCCTGAACTTACAGTGTAAGCATAAAGACAATTTGTTTGATATGCTCATCCCAAATTTGCAGTATCAGAAGACTGAGATAGTTCAGAAAAAAATGAATCACCAATTGAGCTGACTTGTGATAATTAGAGATTCACTTCTGGAGTATAACTTTTTACAGATGCCAGTGCTGCCTTTTAACATGAAGATTAGAGGAAGCTTCTGTTAGATACTTCTGAGAAACAAATCCAAATTCTGCCAGTGCAATTTTCAAAGGGTTCTGAAAACTTAGCTACTCATCTCCCACAAAAAGACAGCCTATGGCCACAAGTAATGTTTCCAGCTGCTTTTGGAAATCCCAGCAAAAGCTCCCCTAGATTCACTATCCATTACCCCTGTATAAGGAATAGGATAGAGAATGAAGTACAAATAGATGTGGATGGATGAGAATCTAATTTAATAACTACTCAGTATAACTGCCCACTGTCTGATGCATTGCTGCATAAGGTACTATTGATTTGAGGAAAAAGATTATATGACAGCTGGGAGAAAATGTCTGGTGCTGCTCCTCCCAAGATTTATTGTTTCTGATAATGAGTAAATACATTTTATGCATGAAAATCTGGCAAGGCTTTTTCCAACCATCTTAATATTGTCAGTTTCATGGAAAAAAAACCCTTATAACTTCAGGGATACTGCACATGCAGATAAAATAATTGAATGTACTCAGTCACCCAGTGAAGGCTGCCATGAAGTGCAAGCAATAGCAGATAGGGGAGGCTGACAAGGATCCCTTCAACATGCTAATTTTCTCATGTACATATTGTCTTATTTTCTATAAACAGCATAGAGAGTTTTGATATTCCCTTTGTGTCAGGATTAAATCTCACATTAAACAAGGCATTAATCATCTGCTATGGCCAGGTAGCAGTAACTTCTGAGCTAGGTGTTCCTCAAAAAAACCAACCTGTGCTCGGTTTCAGGACTTGTTCTGCCTTCTAAGACCTGTCAGGATCAAAAAAACTCACAGCAGTGAAAGCTAACTCATATTTAGAGAGATATTGGGCCTGCCAAAACTCTTCATATTCATCCTCATTGTCCTATTTGAAGTTCTTCTTTGTCTACTCTTCCCCTCTTTTATTTTGAAGCTCTATCTTTATCTGAAAATCATCCTGGGTAACTTCCTGACTCATAACATAGCCAAATATGGCATTGTTTTCAGCTTTTTGGGAAATTCTGCAATAAGATGGCTTGTGAAAGAGCTTGTAATTTACTATTTTCTCTAAGAAAACTTCCTGTTGTCATGGGCCCATCAGGTAGAAGACCACCATTTTGTATTAGTTTACCCTTAAATTGTTGCCACCTCTTAGCTGATCTTCTTTTCATCTAAGTAACACAGTTTTAGCATCTTGGATTTAAAAATAGTGAGCTAATGACTTTTCCTGCCACAGCATTAGAATTGAAACATTTAGAATCTTATGTCACTTGAGTTAGCATATTTACTAATTCCTGCATGCTTTTAAGTGGATTAGAATAGGTGGGAAGTGGAAAAAGAGCTGAGATTTATCCTCCATCCCAGTGACATTCCAGACACCCATATGAGGCAATACCACTGTGTACTGAAAGGTACAACTCTTAGCAGTTTTGTTAAAATTACACCTACAATAATTCGGAAAGTGTGCCCACAAGGTGGGAAAATACAGATGCCTCAGCTCTTGTGCAGTGCTTTTCTTTGGAAAAAGATATACTTTATATATTTCTATATCTATGTAAACAGAGCTCTAACTATAGATATATAAAGACACAGATGTAGATGTAGATAGATTTGTATAGATGTGTGTATTTAAGAATGAGAACAGGCTGCTATTTTCATAAAGCTCAATACCTTTATAAAATATTTTCACTCATAAGTCACCAAAACTGGAAAGCCTATTGAAATTAATAAGAAGTCTTGAGTAAAGAAGGCTGAGTAAAGAAACTGGGGAGAGGAGAGGAGGGGAGGGGAGGGGAGATGATAGTCACAGCTCAACAGCTTAACTTGAATTCTTACAAAAACAGGGGGCCACCTGCCTCCTCCCCACCTTTCAGTGTCTTTGAAAACCAAAATATACATTAGTGGTACTTTTTAAACTCAACCCAAACAGTGGCTGAAACACAGTTTTGCCATGATTTGAACTGCTTTTTGAGAGACAGAACATGAAGTCGATTAGTTGCTCTTTAATATAACACTGCTTTTTGAGAGACAGAACATGAAGTCGATTAGTTGCTCTTTAATATAACACTGATCATTTCAGATCTTGTGTAAAGTATACTCCATGTACTAAATGATTCAGTTGGTTTTTTTTGTTTAAGACCCATGCATTTTGAACTTCTATTCAAGTCAATAACATCCTCATGAAATTCTTCAGGAATTATTCAAAGAAATTTCCACTAGGCACAAAATTAAGCGACCTAAGAATCATTATTAACCTGTGTGTAGCAATCATTTTATAAGGATGATGTTTTCCAGATGATGAATGCTTTGACAGTTCTAACTGGATAATGGTTTCAGCAAACTGAGGGAGATTTCTAATTTTGTATGAATGAAAATCAATATATATTTCTTTGGATTTACTAAATATAACATAATTCTCACAGCATTTTGTCAGCTAGTGCTCTGAGTCAATCTGAACTAATTCCAATGTAAGACAACTTCCTGGGGAAACTGAGGTAGAATTTTCCTTATGAGTATGATTGGGCCAGTGAAAGTCGTATTTTCCTTGTATATGGCATGCATGACAGTTCAGAATCAGTAGCAACAGAAGCTAGGATCACACCTTCTGTCCTGCACTGTGTCAAGAGGCTCTGAAGCTGAAGCATCAGAAGTTTGGGAGATGGGGAAGATGGGGTTCTCAGCAGCATCAGATCTGTTGAGTCTAGTTGCCAGATGTTCTGTAGTTGAAGTGCACATTTCAAGTGCAGGCACATTATCCACACCTCCATCTCTGGACCACAGTCAACATGTTCATATGATAACAACAGCAGACTAGATGGTCTTTTATTGTCAGTTTAGATGGCAGCAATATCTGTGACCAAATCATCTCAGTGCGTTATTTTACCTTCCTCTTATAAAACCTGAGACAAAATGCTGCAGCATATCTGCTGCTGCTCTAGAGACAATTACTAGTCCATCAGAATACTCAGATCTGCAAAACAGTTTTAAGTGGTTGACTACTGAAAACAGGATCAGCCCAAGATGCTGTGAGACTCTTCTTATTTGTTGAATGTTTTCCACAAAGGCAGGCAGGAAAACTGAGCTTCAAGAGATTTCTGCCCCTTGATAATTAATTGGCATCTTTGTGTGGCCTCTGTCTTCACTGGTTTGAACCCCTCTGGAGTTGTCTCACATTTGCCATAATGCTTTTGCTTGCCTCCATCGTACTGGAGTTATAGCTTTGGTGAAGAAGTTTTAATACCTTGGGTGTAAGAATTCTAGATTGCAGGGACACCTAAAATATTCCAAGAAAAAAAAAAAATTAAAAACTAAAGACTAGACAAGCTCTGAGTCTCAAAATCCCATTATCATCTTGAAGCTCCTGCCTACATTTCTCTGTTTCTGATAAAAAGTCATCTTAAGTATCCTGCCTCACATAAGTAAAATCTGGGCTGCTGGCACAAGACTTCTTTTTCATCAGCCGTGTACCTCATTTAAAACACCTCATTTTCCTTCCTGGTTCAGCTCAGTACCCAAGACATATTTTATACTTCCATTTTATCACCTCTTGGGGTTTTTCACTCCACCTGTTCTGAGACTGATGGAGATGTGCTAGGCACATTTACAAAGGTGTAGCATTACAGACAAACAACTAACTATACATCCCCAAAAATTTTAGCTATGTTACTGCATCCTTTTTTTTTTTTTTTTTTGGAACAAAAATATCTCCATTTTCTTGTCTACGTAGCAGATAAGTGGTTATCATTCTCATGTGGTAAAAAATGCATTGTATTATGCCAAACCACTTGAAATAACAAATAAAACACTGATTATAAAGCCTCACTCCTCAAAATCACCTTTGATGTGATTATTTTACAAATAACTTACCAAATCTAGTGCTGCAGCTGTAAAGACTAGATCAGGTTAACTGTTCTGTGGTCCTCATTGTCCAAAGACTATTTCTTTAGTTCCCCGTATTGGGAAACAGATTTCAAAAGCTCTGGAGACAGACCTAGAATAATTTTTCTAAGATATCTTTCACCTTAGTCTAAAAAAAGGAAGGAGAAACTGAAGCAGAGTAGATTCACTATTTCCTTAGCACAAGAGAGCATAACCGACTGTGGTTATTTTTCAGAGGGGAAACCTTACAAAAATTATTTCAGGGTCATACTATTTTATGGACCTAGAGGGAATGCAGAGAAGTGAAATCCTTGTTATTCTTAACAGATAACAGACTATGAAAATCACATTTTACACCCAGTTGTTATCTTTAATTGATAATCTGTTTTACCAAAGGTAGTGAAAAGCAGAAGCAAAACTCAACAATATAAAACAAGCTAATCCCTCAGGTGATGCAATTAAATGTTCTGGAAAACAAAAACGCCATCAGAAAATAGGAAACTCATTGATGTTAAAGAATGATTTGTGTTGTATATTGACTTCTGGTGACTTTGTCTGCAAAAAATGTTTTCCTCCTGACCCAGAATGCCTTGATTATTTGAATACTCTAATTTCTGCCAAATTGGACATGAGCTGAGAAGCGTACCCATGTTTATTCTGTTTCTTTGTTCTGTGAAAATTTTTTCCTTGCTTACTTGCACGTTTCATTTTTTATGCATGAGGAAAAGCCAGAACATAAACCTTGCACTGACAGTTGTATGTTATGTCAAAATTTTTATATATTTTTTCTATGATACCATGAATATGCATTTGGTCATGTAAATGCATATAGTATCTCTCAAAAGCTTTAGGAGATATACAACAACTACAAGTCAGAATATAAATACGTATGAGAAAGAATCCTAGAAAATAACTACTCTGGCAGGTCATACATTCATAGTAATCACTCTGAGAAAATCATAAAAATAACTCTTCTCAGTACTTTTAGGCTAAAAGCAGCCCCCTACATCTAAATTGAAACAAGACACTTCAAACATTTTCTTCAGAGTGTGTATTACAAGTACCAATGTAATCAAATCCCACAGTTCTGACCTGAGTAATCTTCTGGAAGTGCTCAGAGGGTGTGTTATATCACACCCACACAGATTTTTGATCTCTCATCAGTGGATCCCTAGTAAGGAATGATGCCAGCAGGTTGGGATTTTCACAGCCTTAAAAAGATCAAGAAAGAACCCAGGAGCAGACACTGAAGAGTGACTTAATATGGGTACGTTTTTTTTTCTCCACATCATTTCCCAAGTAGCTACCTTGTTTTCTTTCTCTTTTCTTCTTGGCTCCTCTCCATGGAATTAGAAAATTGCCCTTTGGCATGTGATCAGATACACCAGAGTGATCTTCATGTTCTAACACAGACACAGTTTTTAGAAATGTGGTTGTGTCACCAATGGAAACTTTTTTGGACCAAAGTTGCAACACACTCTGCAAGCCAGACAATAAAATTATCCTGGGTTTCTAAAATATCCTCTCTTTTAAAAAATAACACTTGAAAATATTAGTGTTCCCTATATTCTAATCCATGACAATTAACCTATACATGGGGTGTACCTCCAGTTGTAAGGTCATGTAGCATTCCTTCAAAGAGGTGTCAAAAACAATCATAGGCTAATGAGATTTTACAAGAACTCCCTGCTAGCTGCTTTCAATTAGATAAAATGCCCTGGCTGGAAGTGAGGAAATGCATTTTCATTATTTTCAAAAGAGTTGCACAACAGAAAGTGATAAGAGGAAAAGAAATAAGGAACTAATAGAACAGTCTGAGCTTTCTAGCTCCACTTCCCTCCTCCTTTCTATTTGGGGAAAAACAAACAAACAAACAAACAAATCCAACAAACAAATAAAAATTATGGCAATACTGAGTGTCCAAAGTACACGAAGTAAAAACACTGAGAAGGCTTCATGAATACCTAAGATTGTCAGTTTCCTGTGGCTCCAAGACAAATTCTAAAACCCATTTCTTTGAGTCAGATGAAGTATTTCGTTCAATTCAAGTGGAAATGTTTTCCTTTGTATTTCTATAGTAATTTATGAAATGAAAAATAAAAATATATTATTTTAAAAGCAAAAGGCTATTTTAAATAATGCAGTTATTGCATTTCAAACTGTTTACTGAATTCAGATTTCAGAATATCTCTTGGGAGGAAGGATGTGATCAGAAAGAACTGTTTGACAAAACCTGACATAATAGATATACTTTTTAAACATTTGTTTACTCAGGAAATCACATGCCAAAATGTACTCTGCCATCCCACTGAGACCTGAACTTTCTAGTATAACATCAAAAATTACTTTGGATGCTTCTGTGTTCAGAAAGCTGATATAAATCAGAAGGCAAAGCACCCAATACAGCCCCCTATGAATGGAGGAAGAGCATGGGGCAGAACATGACAGATTCTTTCTCTTTTATGTTTATTTTATAGGACTTTCATCCTCACAAGTTCCAAAGGAAAAATTGAAAGCGCATAGAACTATACATTTCCTCCCACCTCTTATCAGGGTGTAAAGGACATTGACAGAATCTGTGAGACTGAAAGGTTATTTATAGGGATGTAAGACCTTCAGATTGGCAAAAAACCTTCAAGTTAGATTCTCTCTTCTCATGTAAACGTTTAATTTGTAGTTTTACACCAGTGAATTTTTTGAAGCAGTATGGAGAATTTAAAGACCAGTGTATAGCACCATGGAAGTGACCTCCTGAAAACTGCATTGGAATCCTTTAATGTGGGTGTGTTTTTTTCATTAAGTCTGAGTGTTTATATACTCTCTATTTATTACCAATATATAATTATTATTCCATTACCACTGTTAGCAACAGCATTTTCAGATAATGTGTCTCTTAAAAAGACTTTCTACCCATTCCACCTGCTATCTAAATGCTGATTTTGTTTTGTTCCATTTTGCACAGTTGAAAAAATAGATAAAATATTTCCCATGATTCTGATTCTACATGAGCAAGTTATATTTTAATAAATTTTAAAAAATATTCAGTGGATGCTACTCAGTTCTACAGAAGATTCCCTTAAGAAGAAAGAAAACACAAATTAAACAACTTCTCCACTGGTTGGTATTTGGGATGGGGAAAAAGAAAACCAAGGTATAAGGAAAAGAGCAAATGCCTTAACAATGAAAGACCCTTCTTCCAATAAAATAAATAAATAAATAAAATAAGCAAATAAATAAATAATCTTTTAAAAATAAAATAAAATAAATTGAGCACCTTTGCCTCCCTAGGAGTTTGTGATGAATAATCTTAGCTGAATGAAGGTTTTAAGGACCTCTGGTTCTAGCCAAAAGCCAAAGAACCTTGTGGAAGGAAGAAGCCTTGTCTCTGTGAGAAGTGGAAAAGTGCTTACAAAAAGATTCTTACTGCAGTCAACTGAAAAAAGGTCAGATCCATTGGTGATTGATAGAAGCTGAATGCACTGTCACACTTCTTGAAGTTTCAACAGCTGTATACCCTGAAGATATTGTTCAAAAAGATGCATTTTGAACCGAGTCACAGGCAGAACACAATTTAAAAATCTTCTGTGGCACTAACAAAATAAAAACTCATGCTTTAGAGACTACATCGTCCAGAACCATGGCTTTAATAAAGACAGCTGTGGCAACCAGTCCTTGCCTGCAGAGGAGAAAGAGAGAGAGAGAATGTGTCATCTAGAGGCTGACGCACCACATGGATTTCCAATTCAGATAAGCCAAGAAGATCACAAAAAAAAAAAAAGTGTTTATACAAAAGCAAGCTGAAAACCAAAAGGTGAATAATCTCGGTTTTTCATAAAGTATTATATGCAAATGAATTTTAAAATTAAGGAGATTAAGCTGTGAGTGAGTTTTGGTTTTCAACATTTAAAGAAAGAAAGGATTCATCTTAAATATAAGGCAGTAAGTCTTATTTATCATCATTTGTGGTTCATCAGTCAGAAAAGGTCAGATTATGTTCCACAGGGACAAATTTACTCAGGGCCACACTAGTCTCAGATCAATCCATGGAGGGACTGGGTGCACTAAAGCTCACTTCCCCCTGCTTTGTAGGATCATCATTTTCTTCCAACTCAGCTCAGCTGCACATAACCAGCCTTTCCCTCCATCTCCCTTAGCTTCCCAGCCTGGCAAGAGGGTGTGGCCAGCAGTGCTCTTTGGGCTATGTTTCCCCCTTACTGGTGAGTCTCCCTCACAGCAGCAACTTTTGAAATACAGTATATATATGTATATATGTATATATATATATATGTATATGTGTGTGTGTATATATATGTATATATGTATATATATATATGTATGTGTGTGTATATATGTATATGTGTGTATATATATGTATATATGTGCATATATATATAT